ACGAAGCAAGTACTCGTAGCCGATCGGGCTTTATCATCCAGCGCTTGCTGGTCCTATCAACTTGAGCTGGACGAGTCTGATCCAGACGCTGATTCCTCCACCTCAAAGCAGGGCATTGAGCGTAGGTTCGCTAGGTCGTTGAAGACAGTCATGCCCTTGAGGAACTCGCTATTAGCGGTCAGCCAGTCATCCTCAAGGATACCTTCCGTAAAGGTACCATAGGTATCGGCAGGGTTGTATTGGTAGGCACTTTCAGGGTTCAAAGACCATACAAACCCACCCGCCCAGCCACTTTCCACAATCACCTCCATACTCAGATCCGTACAGCGTTGCGTAGTGAGTTCCGGGTGCAGATCCTTCGAGTAAAGACCTCCAAATTCACCCAGTAACAACGCAGACGAGTTGTCGTCGCCCAGAAAGCCGAACATATCGGCCATTGTGGCTTTAATTCGTGCCTTCAGTGTATCATCATCGATCTCGACATAGTCGGAAATTGCACCGTTCGAGTCCTGAGTGCCTCCATTATAGAAGTACGACTGAGGGTAAACAGCAGGAGTATAGTAGTGTGGTGCATAGACCACCTTGTTCTCCGTGCTGAATGTAAGAGGGTAGTCTGCTGCATCCTGCAGACCACCACCGTACCAGTCGTAGTAGTCGTAGTCTGTACCATCGATCGTGACCGTGTGGTCGGCGTTGATGCCTTCCACGAAGCCCATCCAGTTAGAACAGCCGTCTAGCATTCGATCTGCGATCTTCTTGGCTCCAGCGTGGAAATCCGTGTCAGACCCGTCACCCCACGTAGCCTTCGAAGGTTCGTTCTTAACATCAATCCCCATGATGTTCCAGTACGTCTTACTGCAGAGATTATCCGTTAGCGTGTCAATGGCATCCAGGAAATCATCTTCCGAGATCGTGTCGCTGTACCAGAGACTTCCACTATCCGTCGATGTTAGTGTATGCATACTCAGCAATACGCCGATTTTCCGGTATGCCAGCACTTTGACGATACTCTTGAGTAAAGACATGTAGTTCTTGACCGAGATAGCACGATTTTCGGCCGTATTGATCAGTGAAGTCTCTGGTTTTGGATTGGTGAGGATCCAGTTGACACAGAGTGGTAAACGGACTGCGTTGAACTTGTTGTCGGCCAGGAAGGACGCGATCTGGTACGCTGTAGTACCGTTATCAGCGTTATCCCAGAGCCCGAGTGGAATGGCTGTACCGGTTTCCATACCAAACCAGTTGATGCCCTTGATATCCACCGGTACTTCGGTACCATTGGCCGATACGGCAACAATTCTACCGTTTTTACTTTGGTAGTCGGGGAGTTCGCAACCCATATCAGGGTACGATTTGGGGTTACCCACTTCTCCGTCATCGGACACCAAGTCGCTGCCGCTGCCACTGGCGCCGCCTGAGATTTTCTCGCTGTCGGCCTTTCGCTGGGCGTATTCCTCCTGACGTGTCGTGGCGGAGTCGCTCGTGTGAATTGCAGACAACGTGATACCCGCCACAGCTCCGCCAACGACCAGAATAATCAAAGAATTCCTGGCCACATCTGATATAATACATCGACAAATTGGCAAAACGGTTAGCTGAAACCGGGATGTACACTCGAAAAACTGGCAAAAGCGTACCCTGTAGCGACCTTTGTACTGTTGCGTCTTTTCGATGAACCCTGGAGCTGGTTCACTCACCGCAATGTTGCGGTCCATCAACGAGCCACGAGTGAAGACACCAGTGGCACCTACTGCTGTGCCGGGCGCTGCGGATTCGCTGCTGGAATGGCGTGGGGAGCCGGCGTTCATGGTGCTAAAGCGGTTGCCACCCACAGGACCGTAGATTTGCGCCTCGGACGGTTGGCGAAAAACCTCACGCGCCGGTTGCTGTGGGATGTAGTCTTGCTCCGGAATGTCACTTGAGTGCTCGCTGTTCAACATGGCCGAGTAATTGTAAGTGGGCGAGCCCAACATTTCGGACGAAGTGATGAGCGACGCCGACGACTCCATGCCGTGTTCGCGCTCCTGTCCCCGACGCATTATTGGTGCAAGGGCAACTGCGCTGGCTTACGGCAAAAGTAAAGTGGCGGAAGAATTGGGCGAGCATGAAAAATGCGTCGTGCATGCCATATCCTGTCCAATAGTAGAATCAAGTGCAGCAACCGGTCCATAATATGCAAGTGCTTGAGACAGGTCATCCCTCGCTTTAGCGGCCGTAGGGTGTGCTAGCATTAGCATAATCAATCCTAATCTAAGGGGATTGGGATTGAGTGTCACTATTCGTGACCACTCTCATGACTTGAGGTCACTATTGGTTGAAAGAAGTTGGAGGTCAAAAATCAAGGAGATTCAAATTATCAACGCGCTGCCGTTTGGGTTCGGACAAGACGCTCCGTCGTCTATTGCTACTGAGCTTGAACAGGAAACCTTCATGGCGGCGCCAATGTTGCAGCGGGTACGCGCGAGGCACATTATGATCGCAGTGATATCTCACGTCTTGATACGGGCGCTGCTGTGACTGTCCAACAGTGCCAGATGTCGTTTCCCAAAATTCATTTCAGCTTTGGCGGATCTCACAATGTGAGTCACATGGCGACAGAAATTGATGTGGCAAATTGCCACTGGCAACGTGTTGGATTTCCGGTCGGTAGGCAACTGTTGCCTAAATTGGCCGTCGACTATGGTGCAGGCGATGTGCGCTATTCGAAGCATAGCCCGAAAGTTGAGCTCTTTATCAACGTTTCGCTGCGCGACGGCAACGGCAACGGCACCAAGATCTGTATAGAGCACTGTAGAAATTCCTGCTTAGTGGAGCTTGTGTCAAACCGTTTCTAACAAAAAAAAAAAACCTCTGCGTTCGACTCAAACGCAATTTTTTTTATTAAAAAATAAATGTATAGAAAATGTTGGACAGGAAATGTGTTGCATGCAGGGAATCTATTTCCCAAGCTTAAGTTACATAGTTCTTAACGCTATTTAGTCGGAGCCAGAAGACCCCGAGTCCGAGGCCTCCGTCTCGAAGCACGGCATCATACGCAAATGTTCCAGGTCGTTCATGGCCTCCAGTCCCTCCAAAAATTCGCTGTTGGCCGTCAGCCAGTCGTCCTCCAAAACTCCCTCCGTGAACGTGCCGTACGTGTCGGCCGGGTTAAACTGGTACGCACTCTCCGGGTTCAGAGACCACACGAAGCCACCAGACCAACCATTCTCCACCATAATGTCAATAGAATAGTCGGTACAACGCTTCGTCGTGAGTTCTGGATGCAGATCAGTGGCGTACAGACCACCAAACTCGCCTAGCAGCAGCGCGGCTGACTTGTTATCCGCGATAAAGCCAAACATCTCGTCCATAGTGGTTGAAATACGCGTCTTCAGGGTGGAATTCGACAGCTCCACATAGTCTTCGAGTGCACCGTTATCACCGCTGGTACCGCCACCGTATAAGTACGTCTGCGGATAGACAGCAGGAGTGTAGTAGTGCGGCGCGTACACCACCTTGTTTTCGGTTGTAAACTCCACCGGATACTCGTTTGCCTTCTGCAAACCGCTACCGTACCAATCGTAGAAGCTGTACTCGGTATCGTCGATAGTAAGCGTATGAGAGGCGTAGATTCCCTCAACGAAGCCCATCCAGTTCGAGCAGCCTTCCAGCATACGGTTTCCAATAGTCTGCGCACCTACACGCCAATCCGTGTCCTCACCGTCGCCCCACGTGCCTTCGTAAGGTTCGTTCTTAAGATCGAGGCCGATGACATTCCAGTAGGTATTGCTGCAGAGGTCTCCAGTTAGTGTATCCACTGCGTCCAAGAAATCGCTCTGCGTGATGTTGTCGCTGTACCAAAGTCCACCGCTATCCGTCGACGTGAGGGTATGCAGACTAAGCAGCACTCCGATCTTTCGATACGCCAGCGCCTTAATGAGACTTTTAAGCAGTGACCTATAGTTCTTGATAGAGATGGCTCGGTTCTCGGCTGTGTTGATCAACGTAGATTCAGGCACCTGATTCTTGAGAATCCAGTTGATACAAAGCGGCAGGCGCACTGCGTTGAACTTGTTCTTCTCCAAGAAATACGCAATCTGGTACGCGGTCGTACCGTTTTGAGAATTATCCCAAAGACCAAGAGGGATGGCTGTACCTGTCTCCATACCGAACCAATTGATTCCCTTCATGTCCACCGCCACTTCCGTTCCGTTCGACGCAACAGCGTAGATATGCCCGTCCTTGCTCTGATAATCCGGAAGCTCACAGCCCATGTCCGGATACGATTTCGGGTTACCAACTTCACCATCATCCGAAACCAGATCACTACCACTGCCACTCGCACCGCCAGTAATTGCCGAGGCGCCGGCTTTCCGCTTGGCATAAGCTTCTTGACGAGCTGTACTTGCTGTATGTGTGTGCATCGCTGCGAACGTGATGGCAACTGCACCACCAATGATGATCGCCAGAAGTAACACAACACCAGGCCATCTCTGTAATTTAACCGCATATCAAACTGTTAACAACAAACTGAAATACCAAGTGATAACTCTGACACGTACCCGATATCGGCCTTTGTAGTTCTGTGTCTTGGCAGCGAATCCTGCATTTGTCGGGTCGCTCACTGCCTCAATGTTACGATCCATCATTGACGGACGGGGGAGTGCAACAGGAGCAGCAGCGCCACTGCTCGATCCACTTGTGCTGACGCCATTTGCGGCTGAATACGCGAACGTTTCCCGAGTGGGTGAGCTCGCATCGGCCTCGGTGGGGCGCATGCTGTAGGAGAAGCCGCCTCGGTCACTGATGGTCTGTGGGTGAATCTCCGATGGCTCACGGAAGACCTCACGAGCTGGGGTTTGCGGGGTATAGTCCTGGTCAGGAATATCGTGGGAGTCTCCGCGACTCAGCATTGCGTTGTAGTCGTGAGATGGGGAGCCCAGCATCTCACTATTGCTAACCGGAGAGTCCACCGCTGTACCTGTGTCCCGTTGGCGCTGCATGTTGTGGAAAAGCGTCTACAAAGTCCTGCGCTCACACTCTAGTGCTCTCGCGGAGGGAAATTCGAGAATGAACTGGTTGCTGGGCGCTAGTCGCCGCCCGAGCTTTGTGCCGGGCGCGCATGGGTGGCCAGGTCCAGGCTGGAGGTCCGCTGTCATACGCACTGCTTGTCGAGGAGTGCACATACAGAAGCCAACATGTTTTTTCGCAGACCGGACGGCGTGTTGATCGGCAGGAGCCGATTCGCGGTGCACAAAGTGCAGAGACCGATGCATTTTGATCGGAATGGCACCGCCAAGCTGCCAGAACATCCAGGCGTCAATTGTTCAGCACGGTGAGAGAATCAGCGGCATGGAACTATCGACAATGGTGTCGGCGAGTCACACAGCGCCCGACAAGAGGCTGCAGCTCTGCCGCTTGATTCCGCGACGACGAAAGAGCTGCCAACTCACTACAGTTGGAGAGCTGTCAGTGGTCACGCCATGGCGCGACTTCAGTTGCATTACAATACGGCACCAGTAACCGGTAGCAAAACGAGAGGAGCGGCAGGAGATGACCGGTGGCGTTCATCCGATCGGGGCGTCGCGACAATAACTGCACCGAGACCCTAGTTTGAGTCGGCGTTGATGCCCAACGGCAGCAGGTACGCTTGACACCTTATTGTGGGTGTCCTGATTCAGGGTCGTGCTTCAAGCAACTTAACAGCTTGGCAGCTGCAATTGTGCCTTGTGGATTGTGCCGTAACAGTTACGGGTCGGATTTGTGACGTTAGGACCATTGTTTTGAACGTTAGGACTATTTTTGACATCTGAGTCCGACGAACGCAAGATTATCATCAAGCTGATTCCTGCGAATTCGCGATCGAGCGAGGATCCGTGTGGTCGTTACGCGACCTGGATGTTGAAGAGCTGTACGGTAAGAGTCTACCATCCATCCAGCTAACCAGCCAGACCAAGAGCTCGGTTTACGCCTTAGACTCTATAATAGAGGCTTACCAAACAAGCTCAATAATGCCTGCTTTTTACTCCGACTAAAATTATCTTGGTCAAATTAAGTTGATGTGCAGAACACCATGCATGATCCACCTGGAGCGCTTAACATACAAGCCATCATATCTTTCGAAGTTGGTGTAATCGGTTTCAACGGGGTATGGGATAGCGCAAGTGATATCCTTTCTATGGAAAGAGTGGGACGTTGGGAAGATGTGCATCGTCCCGCACCATCCCGGTTATGAACCTGCGCCTTTCCTCCGCATCAAACTTTGATTCAAAGCTCGCGCCATCGCCAACAACCCACTTTGTAATTCGCGCTGCTGAGCCACAACCTCAGTAATACGAACCAGCTGCAAGTGAAGTGATCGCCAGCCAGCCACCACTTGCTATTGCCATTCTCGATCTTACCACTGCCATGGGTGTCGTTCTCCAGCCCATTGATCACCATGAGGCCATTCAGCGCGAGGCATCGCCCGAGTTGGCGCCGCAGTCATGGAGCCGCAAGATGCAGCCCAACTCCACCACCACAACGTGCGTGCAAATGAAACTTAGTCTCGTTAATCGTTGCGACGAACACTCTCCGTCCTGACCACATCACGTTACTCTATCTGTCCTATGCTGCAGACTCGCACTGGCGACGTGTCCTCTGTTTTCACTTCAAGATAGTGCTGACAAAAGCTTAGACATGTCCTGGCCGCGCAAGCGCAAGCATATTCAAGTATCCATGATGCAATCTACCAAAGATCACCAGCCACTTAAGCGCTGGGCTAGCATGGTCATTTCGCCTCGCCGCACTTTGAAGCGCCAACGGGTTGCAGTGGACTGCAGCTACCAGTCCGTCTCTTGGGACAAGAACCAGTCGGACGAGGCCTCGATAGGCTCGCCAAGATCCTTGCAGTACGCTCTTCCTGATCTCACAAGCCACGACACACTACGTGTGCTGCACGCAATGCACACGATTCCCAGCGAGCTGCGCCACCTCAATGGTAGCGCCAGTCGCAATCACCTTCGACGGCGCTGCAAGGTGCGTCAAGTTTTTGGGTGGCGCCACCTGCTGTGCCAAGAAGAAGAGGACGAGCAATTAGCTCGTCGTGTGGTGTGGAAAAGCGCCAAGGCGCTCGACTCGATGAGGATGCGGCCGTTGGCGCGCCAGATCTGGCGGTCTAGCACCGAAGCCACTGGTGGGTTGCAGGATGGAGAGACGGGTGAAGTGTTGTACACTGTCAACAATATCACCCGGGTAGTTCACTCTACGAAGAAACAATACGGAAATCGACGCCGCAGTCGCGACCAGGTCTGGTTGGAGTGCTACCTCGATGACGGGATGCAGGTCTGCGTGGCACGTAAAGAGCTCCGCCAGTTCAGCCAGTATCGTGCACCTGATACATCGGCCACGGAATGTCAGGGCTTCCTGGTGCGGCCAGTGTACACGAGAGCGGTTAAATCACGGCTTGCGGGCTGCTCGCTGCAATGCCTTCGAGCTGTCGATGCGAGTGATTGCGGCATGCAGTCCGCCCCAGCTTTGAAGCAACGACTGATCGACGACCTCCCGCAGCTCACTCTGCAGTGCGAAGAAGATTATCTCTACGATCTCGTTCAGGCTCCACAAGTCCTACTCGACAGCGTCTTCGCCCATGACGGCAGAAACGAACCGTGCATGTCATCATAAGAGTTAACCCTTCTAATTTGAAGTAACTCGATGGTTACGTGATTGCTGTCGCAGATGACGATCTGATAACCCTTTCTAATTTGGATAGATCGTTTTATGCTTTTGTAGAGGTAGTGAGCTTTGACCGTCATTCTGCGACCACTCATCATGGCAACTGCAGCTTCGACCTTTCTCCTTCTGGTCGCTGCGTGGACCGTAGCAACCGCGATGGCATCACTTTCTGCCGCTGAGGAGGCCAAAGTGTCTGCGGATCTGCTGCGTGCGATGGAGAGCGAGCCCGACGCGCGCGTGGACATCCTGGTGCAGCTCGCGTCGCCTTCGCAGGCTGTGCAGGACAGCTGCGACCGCTCAGACTCGGATCGAGCCCAGCGAGCTTCTTGCGTGGCGGAGTCTCTGCAGGATTTCGCCCAGCAGACGCAACAGCCGGTAAAAGATCTGCTTGCTCAGCACAGCGATCTCTACAGCACATCCACGTTTCTGTGGATCAACAACTCGGTGGCTGTGAAGAGCGCGTGTCGGGAACTGATAATGGCGCTGGCCCGGCTGGATGCAGTGGAAAAGATCGACATGGAGCAGGTGTTTGAGATTCAAGCAGGTGCTGGCATGTTCACGGCAGAATAAGCCACTACGGTTTCTTATACAGCAAGATGTCAATGCTTGCTGGAGAGCTATTCTTCATATTCACGTCGTCTTAATCAGGTCAACATGACCCTCAAAAATACTTGATATGTAAAGTAATATACCCCGTCGTGTATAATAAACTATTTTTACGTGATATGAATCAGCACAACCCAAATTGCGTTGGCAACAATCCTGGACATGACATCGCGACCAGCAACAACACATGTACCCAGGCGAGGTTCCACAGGCATCCCAGAACCCAGCCTCCGTCCAGGTTCAGCATCTACTTCTCGGCGCTCAGATCGACCGTATTCGGCGTCAACTTTACCGACTTCCATCGCAAATACGCGCTTCAAGACCTTCCAGGTGCAGCATGATATTTTGTGCCGAAATCCTATCCTCGCAGCAATTGCACAGGAAATCCCATGGAAGAATTTGTTCGACCTGTTCCTCTTGAAGTTCTTTGCTGTTGGAGACCAACTGTGGGCGCAGGGCGACCAACCGCATGAACTCGCATTCGTGCTGTGCGGTGGCTTCCTTGCAAGAAGCATGGACGAGACCACAGAGACCAGCACACCTACGGACATATTCGAAGCAGAAAAGCCGAAGGCACGAGTTTTCGCCGAGAAAATGATTAAACCTGGTGGAAGTCTTGCCGCCTATTCGGTGCTCAAAGGAACACCGTTGCCTTATGCTATCGTGACAACCCGGTTCAAATCCATTTTGTTGTCTCTACCAAGCCAACGACTGAAATCTATAATGCGGCAACTAAAACCAGCTACGCAGGACGTAGTGGAGCAGTTGATTTACGAGAACGAGAAGAAACTAATGGAGTCTCTATCGCTACCATTTCGAGTTCGTCGAGACCCTCGTGTTTCTACAGCTCCAGCAAGCAACAAACAGCGTGTTGGTCGAGCGAAGAAACGGGTAACATCGTCGCTTGTTGATCGCCTCATGGGTTCCTCTGAGAAAAGTGCCATGAAGAGAAGTGCATCTACCTCTGCCGTTGCAGATGCGCCATCGTGGGCATCACTGCAAGTGGCGAAGCCCATGGAATACGACGTCAATTCTTCGTTGCTCATTCTGCACCAGTCTAGTTCCACTGGGAATTTGCACTTGCCGACCTCAACAACTGCCCAATTGCGGTCGTCTAACCTCAGTGCAATAGCTGCCCAGATCGCCAAGAAACATACACAAAGACGTTTGAACAGCATCAAACTGCCGGTGCAGACGGAGGCGTTTCCACCGAGGCGTCTGACCGAGCAACGGGAGCTTTTAGAGAAGGATGGCAGTGGCCATTGTATGGAATTGGTTGAGCAGCTTTTACGGAAGCAACCAAAGCGACTAGCTGTAGATGTGGTGCCGAAAGAGCGAGTGGGTCGGTTGCTAAAGCCTTTGAAAAAGCCTGCAATGATTCCACATACCTCAGGCAGTAACGATAACATGGGAGAGACCATGGGACGGCGTAGTCGAAGAGTGCTCGTGGCAAATCGCAGCGAGCACTTCCGAGACGCGTCGCAGGGAATATTTGCCGACTAAGTATTGTTTACAATAGTGCTTCAGGGATTTCCAAGCGGTTGCTCCCACGGTCGCCCCAGCACTGAATACCGCCGTCTTCGTAGCGAATGCCGCAACCATGATTCCAGCCCAACGTCAGCTCGTCAAACTGCACGTCTGTGGGTGCTGCAGTCACGCCGGAGCGCATACCCCAGCACGTCACCGTTTTGTCTAGCTGCAGAGCGACCAAACATTAGTCACCATTGTGTGCAAATACATTGTAACGGGATCCCAGTGCGCACCTTCAGTCCACATGCCGCAAGTCTGCTCGTGCTAACTAGAATGAACTTTTCATCGCTCGGCGGACTCGCTTGGTTGCGATGATTGTCACCCCAGCACGAGAGCGTGTTGTCTTCGGTCACGCCGCAGGCAAAATCGCCTGGTGATGCCGATATCTGCCGAAAGCGGGTGGTTGGATCCACATTGAGCTGACCCTGCAGTATTCAAACACGATATGTTACATTCATGCACCCCATGGATAATAAAGCGCACTATCGTACATATCCGTTTTCGCCCCAGCACTTGACCGTGCCATCCGTTGCAATTGCACACGAAAAGTCTTTGCCGCAACTGACCTGCACGAACTTACCGCTCGGAGCTTTGGAGATGCCACCCGCCGCCGTGCCTGTAAATCCAGTACGATCCTCGCTCAATCAATGGTATTTTCATCTATCTAATAACAATGCACCGACGTACCCCAACAGCGCACTGTCTGGTCCTTCATGATGCCGCACGAGTGGAAGTCACCGCTGCTGACCTGCTCGAACAGACCCTCGGGTTTCGTCACCGGCGCTCCATCGCCCCAGCACTCGAGCGTCTCGTCGATGCGGATCCCACACGAGTGCAGTCGACCGGTGCTCACTTGGATGAATTCTCCTGGTGGCGGTGAGCTCTGTCCACCATTGTTGACGCCCCAGCAAACAACACGACCGCCCACGTCCTCGAACGACTGCGTCTGGATCGCGCACGAGTGCTCGACACCTGCGGCGATGCTGGTTTCGTCGATGTCCAGAGGGACAATCACGTCTGGTATGACCGGTTCGGTGACTGTAGCATCATTGGCGTCAGCAGCTACGGTCGCTAGCCGTATTACATGCAGCACCAGCCAGCATGAGCGCATAGTGATGGAAGTGGTGGCTAACTGCATTTTGGATCGCGGCTTTTCGTTATTGCAACACTGGTTGGTCAATAATTAACTTCATTTTGACGAATCAGACCTTATCACCAAATGGCTGCGTTTTTGTGACGGAGTTGGTCGACAACTTGAATCCAGTTGTAACTTGATTGCTCACAGCTCGAAGTTTGGGGCAATCACGAGTCTAGATGTCATCGTGGTGCAAAGGCTGCAACAAGGAAATCCACAGCACCGGCATCGTACTCTTAGGCTAGAAGTTTTACATGTAGCGATGTAGAGGTCTATTCAGACGCACGAACTTTCGGGGGAGGTTACGCACTGTGCGTTGAGGATTTTCATGGATGTTAGTGGACGAAGGTACCTACAATCATTTATTATAACTGCAATGCAAGTGTCGCGACTCGCGCACTTCCGCAGAAACACGCGCTGGTGCCAACGAGCAGCTCCAATTTTTACAGAGCAACCTGCAATCCAACCCAGTGCACCCGGTTGGATTACATCGCGACCCTACATTAACCCGAAAGCACCATTTCGCCACAGTCATCTGCGTCTCCATCGCTTTCGTTCATGTTGCAACTTGCAGTCATGAACATGACTCGCACTGGCTTCTTGCTCCTCCCTCCGTCTCCATACAAAAACTAAGATATAGTACTTGCTCGCATAATCTTCGGCCCATCGTTGAAACTTGTATACGTATAAATCTCTATACATCTGCCACAATCTGATATTCCCCCGTTACAAATGTCAAAGACTCCCCCTTCCGAAAAATATCCGGACGGACCTCTCCCGGACGAAAAGAGCCATTCGTCGGGTAACGCGATCAGTTCATTACGCAATTTGCCATCAAGCGCACACGTCAAGCATCGAAACGCTCAAGTCGAACACCGAGTCAAGACACTCCGCTCGAACACCCGAGTCCAGCGCTAGTGTCCTCCCTCGTCTTCTGCTCTCCCATCCCCCGCTTTGGATGTCCGTGAAGAGCTCGTGGACTTTCAACAAAAAGTACCCCGTGTACACCGCCAGCCACTAGGCGCTTCCTCCCTCACGCTTTACCGTCTGAACCAAGCAACAAGAAACATTATCGTCAGTGCAACTATGACTCAACTTGAGCTGCTCGCCCACTCCCCGTTGACCTCGGCGCCTTTCAGCGCGCCAAAGGCCAATTCTACCGTCCCACGTCGCCACGTCAATGGCAGCACCTTGCTACGTCGCGCGTCGTCCGCTAGCCCCTCGTACGACACGATCGAGTGCAAGGCTCTGATCCTCGGCTGTGGTGTGGCTGGAAACGCCGCCGCTTTGCGCCTCGCTAACCAGGGCGTCAAGGTGACAATGCTAGCCGCCGCTGAAGACCCGAACAACTGCGCCACTTACTACGCCCAAGGCGGCATCATCTACAAGAGCGAGGACGACACGCCTGCTCTTCTGTCCTCCGATGTCCACCGTGCCGGTGCCGGTGTATGCGAAGATATTGCCGTCCAGAAACTGGCCGTCGAAGGCCCTGGACGTGTCGAGGAGTTGCTGCTGGACGTGGCTAACGTGCCGTTCACTCGCAAGGATGACGGCGAGCTCGCTCTCACGCTCGAGGCGTCACACAACCGCGCGCGTATCCTGTACAAGGCCGACCACACGGGCCGTGCCATCTCCACTAGCATGGTCCAAGCCGTGCGGGACCACCCGAACATCGTGCTGCTCACTGGCCGCAGCGCCTTCGAATTGGTCACCAACGACGCCGGTGAGTGTGTCGGTGCGTTGACTGTCTCAACCAAGGGCAAGGTAGAGCACTACCGCGCCCCGTTCACTCTGCTAGCCACTGGTGGTGTGGGTGACGTATACAAGAACACGTCGAACCCCGAGGGCGCTCGTGGTGAAGGCATTGCGTTGGCTGCTCGTGCTGGTGCTAAGCTCAAGAACATGCAGTACGTGCAGTTCCACCCAACCACGTTGTACATCCCTGACGAGCGTCGCTTCTTGCTGACCGAGGCGCTACGTGGTGAAGGAGCCATCCTACGCAACAAGAGCGGCCGTGCCTTTGCCAAAGACTACCACCCGGACGGTGAATTGGCTCCACGTGATGTGGTTGCTCGTCTCATTTTGGCTGAGATGGAGAAACAGGACGAACCTTGCATGTACCTGGATATCTCGCACGAGGACGCTGACTGGATTAAGAGCCGCTTCCCGACCATCTACCAGCACTGTCTTGACCGTGGCATCGACATGACTAAGGAGCCAATGCCTGTGGTTCCTGCCGCTCACTACCACTGCGGTGGCGTTGAGGTTGACCTGCAAGGCCGTACCTCTGTGCCTGGTTTGTATGCTGCAGGTGAAGTGAGCTGCACGGGTCTCCACGGTGCGAACCGTCTGGCTTCGACTTCATTACTGGAGGGTCTGGTGTGGGGCTGCAGCTCTGCTGATGACTACATGGAGCGTATCAACTCGTTCGACTCAGACAGCTCCAAGACGGAGGAGGACCCGTTCGCCAATCTGAATGGCTTCCGTGATCCGTACCCGAACGAGATTGAGGAGGTGATGCTGGCGACCCAGCGCATCATGTGGGAGTCTGTGGGCCCCATTCGTACGGCTGCTGGTATGGACAGCGCGGTCGATAAACTCGCGCTGCTGGAGGTCAAGGCTGACAAATTGCACCAAGAGTGCCGCGTCACGCGCGAGACTGCCGGTCTGCGCAATGCTGTTCGCGCTGCCAAGGAGATCGCTCTCGCCGCTCTTAACAGCCCCCTGTCGGTGGGCACGCACTATATTGTGCAGGAGTAAGCTGCTCCTGCTCCACTTGTGATCGAGCAAGGCTCGACTAGTTCATTTTCTTTCGTTTACAAGCAATTGTCAGTCCACATTGGCAACTTTTGGTTGCCCTTGTGGTGACCGACCTGCATTTATTGCCGACAGAATCAAAAATGATGCATTTTCAAAGTGTCAAACACCTTTTGAGTTGTTTTTTTACAAGCTATTTTCCATTTATCATCCACCTTGAATTCCAACAAACTCGCTCATTGTATTTTTTTTGGGGGGGGGGGGGGACATAAGCTTTTCTGCAAAAACATTGGGGATGAGAGCGTTTTCTGTGGGCATCGATGCGAGTGTATATGACACATACTACGTGGGAGACGTGAAGAAGGCGTTGGGTGCCTGACAGACTTCGAGCTGATGGATCCGACACTATGGTTCAAGAACGTTAATACTTTGGAGACAATTTTCAACCAGTGAGGGCAAGGTGTACGTGCTGGTAGTGGTTCCGAAACAAACCGAGGAATGTCTTTTGAAACTAGAAATTATGAGATTTATTGAAAGCGTAGTAGTCACGCCGTGCAATTTGCGAAATGCTTCCAGGATTCAGGTAAACCGCTGTGAGATCGCAACGGAATCGTGCATCAAGCTGTCGAGGTTTACATAGGTAGAAGATAGTAGTGTCGTCGATTGACACAATTGAAATCTATTGCTAGTTTGCCAAATTAGTCTAATGACCTGTGTTCATTCTAGTAAAGTGCAAAGTGCCAAGAGCTTTTCAAAAAATGTTAAGCAACGTGTTACACCCACAAACTTTCCTCTTCACTTCAACTAGTGTGTCACACCATATAGTGTAACACACATGACTTCACAAAGTATCATCACGCACGATGCCTGCTCGACGCGTCACCAAGTTGGAGGCCAAGGCGTCGGCTGCCGCCGCTGCGGAGAAGCGCCACGAGCAGCTGGACGAGATTCAGCTATGGCTACCGTCTTTAGAGACAGCGTTGTCCTTGCTCGTTCTCCCGCGCGCTGCGTCCGCTTTGTTGAGTCCCATCGCGGACTGTGACGAGACATTCAACTACTGGGAGCCTCTGCACTACCTGCTCTATCGCTTCGGTTTCCAGACATGGGAATATTCTCCAGTCTACGCTCTCCGCTCCTACTTCTATCTACTACTACACTACGCGGTGGTGAAGCTTACAGCCTTCGGTTCTACACTTGGACTGCTAGCAGACCAGAAGCTGCTACTGTTCTACGGTCTACGCGCCGCGTTGGGACTACTCTCAGCCTACGCAGAGGCGCTGTTCTACCGTTCTACCAGTCGTCGCTTCGGTCGCCGTACGGCGCGCTATCTACTGTGCATTCTACTCTTCAATGCCGGTATCTTCCACGCCAGCACGGCCTTCCTACCCAGCACCTTCACGATGGTGCTGGTTATGCTATTCAGTAGCGCGTGGATGGACAAGAACCACTATTTAGCTCTCTTTTGGGGAGTTGTGGCTGTACTCTGTGGTTGGCCCTACGTCGGTGTACTCTTCATCCCATTCGCAGTCGAGACGCTCTACACTCGAGGACTTATCAAGAGTATCGTGGTCGGTGTGGCTATTGGAGGAGCAGTGTTGGCTGTAGAATTGGTAGTCAACTTCCACTACTATCAGCGGTGGGTACTACCAGCTTGGAACATTGTTGTGTACAATGTTCTTAGCAACGAGACGGACTCGACGCTGTACGGCACGGAGCCACTGAGCTACTACCTGTTGAACCTGGCACTGAACTTCAACGTCGTGGCTCTATTGGCTGCACCTGCAGCGCTGTTTGTATTCGCGTTACCTGGTCACTATGAAACGAGCAAGTTGCAGCTGTTGGCGTACTTGTCACCGATGTACGTATGGGTGACCATCATGTTCACTCAGGCACACAAGGAGGAGCGCTTCCTGTCTCCAGTTTACCCATTATTTTGTCTGGCTGCTGCCATTACACCCAGTGCAGTGGTTTATCGTATCAAACGCTTCTTCAGTCATGCACCTGCAGTGGGTAATGGACTCACGAAGGTGTTGGTAGTTGGAATACTGAGTATCTACGCTCTACTCTCCGTTTCTCGGGTTGTCAGCAACGTCGTGAACTTCAGTGCTCCACTTCGTGTATACCAGCATTTGTATGCTAAGGTATTACCGAATCCGGAGAGTGGCATGCTGCTTGACGCTCCTAATGCTGCTACGCCCACAGTGACGCTGTGTCTGTTGAAGGAATGGTATCGTTTTCCTACCAGCTTCTTCATCCCGTCCAATTCTACCAAAGTGGAGTTTGTCAAGTCTTCATTCTCGGGTCTACTGCCTAAAGCTTTCGAGCAACACGAGAACGGCACTTCGATTATTCCCAGTGCTATGAACAACCAGAACCGAGAGGAACCAAGTCGCTACGTACCGCTTGAAACTTGCGACTACGTGGTGGATTTGAATCTACCAGGACAACAGGAAATTAAGTTCTGGGAGGAGCCCACAACGTGGGAACTCGTGCACTCGGAGCCGTTCCTCGATGCAGAACGATCTAAATCGCCGTACCGATCGTTCTACATCCCCATCCTCACTCCACAATACGTTAAATATGCGGACTACGCAATCTACAGACGCAAGAAAACTACAGCGAACTAGGATGGTAGACTACTTCACCCACGGTACAGCACAGATGATTCCACGCTCAATTTTGCCTTACATTGCCACTCATTATTCAAATTGGACTCCTCTCAACTCTAGCCTCGGTTGCCATCACTTCTTACAGCTTCGAGTGGCTCAGCTCGAGTTTTGCGATGGTGCGCATGTGCACCTCATCGGGTCCGTCGGCGATACGCAGCGTGCGCAGAGCAGCGTACAAGTACGATAGGATAAAGTCCTGACTCACGCCAGCAGCGCCGTGGATCTGGATAGCACGGTCGCACACGTCCAGCGCCATGTTGGGCGCCACGATCTTTATCATAGCGATAGCTTGCTGAGCAACCTTGTTGCCGTGCTTGTCCATCTGATGTGCGGCCTGCAGAGTCAACAACCGCGCGCTGTCCAGTTCACAACGCGACTTGGCAATCTGAGAGCACACGAGCGGGTTCTCGGCCAGTAGCTGCTTGAACGCCGTCCGCGTCTTGGCACGTTGCACCATCAGCTCAAGACAACGTTCAGCAGCTCCGATCGCACGCATACAGTGGTGGATACGACCAGGTCCGAGACGAGCCTGAGCGATCTCAAAGCCGCGACCTTCGCCGAGCAGAACGTTGCTGAACGGGACACGAACGTCCTTGAACAGCATCTCCATGTGTCCGTGCGGTGCGTCGTCGTAGCCAAACACGTGCATAGGCCTCACGACCTGCACTCCAGGCGTGTCCATTGGCACGAGGATCATCGACTGCTGTTTGAATGAACTCTCGTTGGCTCTTTCGGAGTGCTTACCCATAAGAACGATGATCTTGCATCGCGGGTCCCCAGCTCCCGAGATGTACGTCTTGTGGCCATTGATGACATATTCCTGACGCTGCTCGTCACGCACAATGCTCGTTTCGATGTTCGTGGCATCAGACGAAGCCACACGCTTCTCCGTCATAGCAAAGCAAGAGCGGATCTCGCCCTTGAGCAAAGGAACGAGCCACTTGTGCTTCTGCTCCACAGTGCAGAATCGCGTGAGGATCTCCATGTTGCCGGTATCCGGTGCCGAGCAGTTGAAAACCTCCGGAGCCAACACAAGGGACCGTCCCATCACTTCACACATGAGTCCGTACTCGAGGTTGGTCAGGTCTCCACCGTAGTTAACGTCAGGTCCGTTACCGCCCAGTGCTGGCACCACACACTCAGGCAGGAAGAGGTTCCAGAGTCCCAAAGCCTTTGCTTCAGCCTTCAGCTCGTCGATAATAGGAGGAACAATCTGCCATTCACGACCTTCTTCGCGAGCCTTGGCGATCTGAGCAATGTGTACATACTCAGCAGGATACACACGGTTCTGGCAGAACTTCAAGAGCTTCTTGTAGATCTGCAGCGCATGGGGACGGATAGGGAAGGGCAGGATGTGCTCCAACTCTGGCTCAGGGTAGATATCCGCCGACGCGTCCATGATGTCGTCGCTCATAGCCAGTAGTCGGTCCATTGTCGTCTTGGCGCACGCAGCATTGGCCGACGACGCGTTGCCTAGTAGTGCACGGGCGTATACTCCGTGGCAGATCGCAGCGAAGCGGTAAACTACCATTCCCATAAAGAAGTTCCACGTCTGAGTGGTTAACGGAAAACGTCTGGCGCGACGACAGTATCCTAGCAACAAGTCACTCTCCGACGGGATGCCTAGTTTCTTCAACGGAGCATCTGATAGTCCAGGAGTCATGATAGTGTTCGAGTTGTCGAGGGGCAGTCTGTAGGTTGACGCCAAGGTGGCTACATCCGAGAACGGATTGCCAATAGTACACAGCTCCCAGTCCAAGATGGCCAGCACACGTGGCTCGGTCGGGTGGAAGATCATGTTGTCAATGCGGAAGTCTCCGTGGACAATACTGGCTCCCTCTGCACGGGTCGTGGCCTTCTCGGCGTCGTCAGCGTTCTGTTCTAGCCAATGCTGCAGCTGCGTCATCTTTGGGTTCTCCTTGACTCCAGCCTCAGCGAAGACCTTGTGACTGCCCTGCACCTGTCGGCTCCAGCGAGCCACAACGCGGTGACAGTATTTCTCAGGGCGACCGAAGTCGGCCAACCCGATCTTCTTGTAGTCCAGCTCGTGCAACTTAACCAACGCATCCAATGCCGAGCTGTACATGGCGTAGCGGTACATCGGCTTAATGCCAGGCAGCGAAGGGTCTTGGAAGATACGGCCATGTACGTATTCCATGAGGTAGAAAGGCGTTCCGATGACCTTCGGGTCCTCACACAGCAGCACGGCGCGAGGCACAGGCACCTCCGTGTGCTCCAGCGCTTCTAACACACGATATTCACGCTCTACAGCGTGCGCTGAGGGCAAGATTTGCCCGTGCGGCTTCTTACGCAGCACCCATTTGGCCTTCGAGCCGGCCATTGTCAGCAGATAGGTGGGGTTAGATTGGCCATGCTGGAACTGACGGATGGACGCGATGGCGCCGTGCGACGCGCCCAGTCGCGAGTGGATGTAGGCCGTCAGTGCGGGGGCGTCCAGCGCCTGGCGAACGTCTTGCTGCGTCATGGATGCGGGACTCGAGTAGCGCGACGACAATCACGAAATGAAGATGAAGGTGCGGAAATGGAATACCTTCAAGATTTGATGTGATGTGTACGATGATTGATCTTAAATTGCAGGTACAATATAAATACAGAAGCTAAAGTATGGATTTACTTGGAATAGTTTACGTTTCTGTTGCATTATTATCGTTAAATAGATACATGATGTTTGACGGGGTAATTGGTGTTGCGTAAACCGTTCGATATGTCAACTTCAACGTGAAGTGGCCAAAGCTTACGTCGAACACGACGAGGTTGAGACCAACGTGCTCGTAGGGCAATGATCATGGATCTGTTTGTGCGTTTGGATTGTATTCAACGGTATGTATTGCGTTTTCTTAGCTGGTGCAATTTTGAGAGCGTCTCCTAGTTAGTTGGTCTCGTTGAACTCCTTGTTAAGTGCGCCGCCAATGACCAGGTGCATGATCTCGGACGTGCCCTCGTAGATCTCCGTGATGCGTGCGTCGCGGTAGTGGCGCTCAGCAGGCATCTCCGACACGTATCCCATGCCGCCGAGGACCTGGATGGCCTGGTGGGAGCACATGGTGGCCGCCTCCGACGCCTTGAGCTTCGCCATGGCCGCCAGCTTCGTAAACGGTCGACCAGCGTCCTTCTCCACTGCAGCCTTCCACGTTAGTAGACGTGCAGCTTCAATCTCTGTGGCCATAGTCGACAGCTTGGTCTGGATAATAGGATTCTTAGCCAGAGGCACACCGAACGTCTTACGGGTCTGTGCATACGCGATAGCACAGTCGTACGAGGCCTGAGCAATACCCAGAGCCTGCGAGGCAATACCGATACGACCCGAGTCCAGCGTGATCATAGCGATCTTGAATCCGTCACCTTCCTTACCGAGCAGGTTTTCCTTGGGGATCTCGACGTCCTCAAAGATGAGGTTTCCAGTGCTAGACGCACGGATTCCCAGCTTATCCTCCTTCTTGCCCAGTGAGAAACCAGGAGTGTCGGTCGGTACTAGAAACGCGCTGATACCCTTGTGCTTGAGCGACTTGTCCGTCGTAGCAAACACGATCGCCTGGTCAGCGTCGTGGGCGTTGGTAATCCACGCCTTGGTGCCGTTAAGCACGTATCCCTTGTCAGTAGCGCGAGCCGTGGTCGAAGCAGCACCTGCGTCACTGCCGTTGCTTGGCTCACTAAGTCCGAAGCAGCCCAGCTTCTCTCCGCTGGCGTAGGGAGTCAAGTGCTTCTCCTTCTGTTCCGGAGTGCCGAACTTGTCCAGTGGTGCGCAATACAGCGACTGAAAAGACAGAGTAAACGCACTGTTAGTCTATCGGCATTTAACGTTATCAGTTGGCAGACTCACGTTGTTGACGGACATGACGACGCCCGTGGAAGCACAGCCACGACTGATCTCCTCCATGGCGATGGCGTAGGCGAGATAGTCGAGACCGGCGCCTCCGTACTTGTCGTCAATGGCGACGCCCATGAGTCCCATCTCACCGAGCTCCTTGACCTGCTTTGCCGGGTATTTGTGTTCCCTGTCGAGCTCCCCGGCAATAGGCTTAAGGTTCTTGGCGGCATACTGCTGGCACATATCGCGCAACATGGCATGCTCCTCCGGTAGCGTCGACAGGAAGCCGATGGAGCGCGTCTGTGTGCGTCTGTATTGACAAACCCGAAAAGATCGGTTAGACAAGCTGTAAAGGCCGCAATTCAGCGTTTAAAAGGCTGGACTAGCGGTAAAAATTCGCAGATGAACGTACGCGTGCTTTAGGACGGAAGAGGACGTCGCAATGACGCGGTGTAGAGGCTTGGAGAACATATTAAAGCAGGTCTTGGGACGTATGTGCGTGCAGCGGCGAAAGGAGCGGAATGAGGTTGAATCGACGTCAGTGGATCAGTTCGTCAAGGAACTGAAGTTCGACGATCTTATGTGATTATGCAGGTTGATCAACATATAAAGAATGATAGAGCGAAATGTAACCTTGATTTTGGTGAGGTATCGCCTTTGCTATGCAAGGTTGAAGTTAATTATCAAAGTCGAGAGAGAATCAAAAATGGCGGATGTGCACGGCAGATCAACTTGGAAATGTTGACGTGTGAAGGTACTGAGCTGGTTGACGTTAACGCTGTTGTTGGCATATACTTGGAAGTACCATTCTTGCAATTCCTTGTTTCTACTCGTACAAATACTGGTGTGTGTTGCTCCTACTCGTGGTTGTGAGTGTTTCTCTGTCCTAGCGTGGTCATAAAATCGAGCAACACGAGTTGTTGTTGGCTCCGATGGTGCATGGGCCGTGCTTGACCTCCCACACGAGATACTCTACGGCCTCGCGCTGGAACGTCTCGGGGCAGACATAATCCCAGCCACTGTATGCAGCCTGTTCCTGCTCCGACAGCTTGATACCCTTGACAATCGAGATGTCGAAGGAGCCAATATCTGCTTGTGACGCCGCGTTGATCTCGTTGTCCGGCACGAACGGCGGTGGCACCTGCATCTGCTCCATCTGTGCCCAGTCAATAGATGAGAAGAACCGCATACGCTTGATCTCCTCGGCTCCTTTCGCTCCTAATCGCTTTGTTGGGTCTCGAATCAGCAAGTCTACAGACAGTCAGAAGATTAGCGCTCATGTTACGTGAACTAAAAAAGAATCAAAAGTGTAAGTGTAACTTACGCTGGATGAGTTCTGCTGCTTCGGGGGAGAAATACTTGGGATCGTAAGCCGGTGTTAGCTCCAACGTGGCCTTGTCGTAAGCCTGTTGCTTGTCCTCGTGAAGAGCCTTCGCCTTGGATGTCCGGAAGGGACATTTACCGTACAGAAGTTCATACACTAAGCATCCATAGCTCCACCAATCCACCGTCTGATTGTACACCAACCGGTTCCCATTTTCGTCTCGAAGTAGCATTTCTGGAGCCCAATATCCTCGAGTTCCGCATCTTCCTGTTAGAGTTGGAGTCACCTCCACGGCTAATCCTAAATCTGAAATGCTGCAATTTCCCTTTTCGTCAAGTAAAATATTTTCTGGTTTCAGATCCCGGTACACAATATTTTTCTCGTGCAAATGTTGAATGCCCAGTAGAATTTGAGCAGCCCAGAATCGCACTTGAGTCTCCGAGAATCTTGCACGGTTGAGATGGAACGATAAATCGCCACCAGTCCGTAGATCTAGCACCAAGAAAAGCTCCTCAGGTGTCTGGAAAGAATATTTCAAGCACACGACGAATGGAGAAGAAATCATAGCGAGGATCTTCCGTTCAGCCAGACACAATTTCTCTGCGTGTTTCTTCTTGATCATCTTCTTGTTCATCACTTTCATGGCGTACAATGACGCAGATGTCCGCTTGATACATCCATTCACCATACCGAAGCCACCGCGTCCTAGTACACGGAGCACAGTGAAGTCATCTTCACTCACTCGTCGCTTTTGCAGGAACAGGAACGCGATTAATCTCTTGTGGAACGCAGAAGCTCGAAAAGCCTTCAGATGATATTGTTCCAGACTGCAGAGTACACAAGCTTCCAACTCATCGAACAGTGTCAGTGCACTTATCCTCGAATCCGAGCTCAAACGCTTGTCACTCCGCAGTTTCGATACTGAGCTCTCCATCCCCAGATCATTGAGCTCGCTTGTCGACACGGTGCTAGTTGTAGGGCTCGTGGGGCTGCTATCTCGTACGCAATTCATCGAATCTCCACGGTCGGAATCTGCCTGTTTGCGCTTGAAGACAGCGCTTATCCGCTGCACCACGTCGCCTCCAACACCAAGAGGGCTTGCCTCAGTAGATACGCTATTAAAGATGCTACGTACGTCCGCCCGAGTCACTGAGGACTCATTCTTGCGCCAAAACACAATCCCATTCGTCGTCATTGAAGCCACGTTTAGCTCGTCCAGACAGCCAAGAGACATTCGTGTTGGACTGGGACGACCCACAGGAGGACTGTGCAAATTGGTGCCTCGTCCGCCAGCTGAAGGGGAATATTCCGACCCGGGGGAAGTCGACGCTGTGGCTGGAGAGATGGGAGACGTCTGGTGCAGTCGAGACTCTGTTCTCGTGGCTGGTGTCCAGATTGTGAGGCCATTCTCCCTTGTAGGGGTATGAACGGCAAGTCCGGGGGTAGCGTTACCAAAGAATAGGTCCCAGATCTCCCTGGCTTTCATGCTGCGCTGCTCGGGCGTCTGCAGTGTGCGGAATTTGGTAACTTCGACTAAGAAGTCCAGTTTCTGACTCCCATGCTGCTCCGCCTCGCAGAACCGGCGGAAGAAATAGAAGCCTAGCGGCATATCCAGCAAATTCTCGAGACCGAGCCAGTCGTTGCCCAGCGCGCGCTCTTGGCGGTCCACGAACTGCGTCAATTCATTGCTCGATGGATTGTAGAAGGCTGCGGTGGGCCCGCGCTGCGAGTTGGTCACCGCGCCAATATACTGCGCGTCCTGGATGGCATCGTGCAGCTCGTCCATTGTCGCTGCCTGCTGTGCCTTCGCCCTCCGCAGTACTCAAAGACTGCGCTGGATGGAGGTCGATGATGGTGCTGGGCGGCCAAAAATATCAGCTCCGCTGCCACGTTGACTCGCGAGGTTTCTTCACTTTAAATATGAGTGACACGCGCGGTCTCTATCTTTCACTGGCACGAACGCGTTTGAAAAGATGGAAATAGCGCGAGGACGCGGAGCGATTGATCTCGCTATGAAAAAGATAGCTGTGGAGAGTGGAGACCTCGCGGCCTGGCCTGGGCACTTGGAAGAATGACGAGGACGCGGTGCTGTGATTTCGAACACTGATATTGGCTTCAAGTATGGTCAACCATATCTGAGCTTCAATATTCACAATTTTTTTGCGCTTCAACTGAAGTGTGCGACTTGAACAGCAAATCAAGCTGGGAAGGCGTCATGACTGTCGACTATTGCAGGGTAATGGCAATAATGTGCATTTGTTGTTATTGTGTACAATAGGTTTCGACATTGACATCTTCACGACACGGAATGCAACACACAGAGGTTCTCCTATTGAGCAGCGCTCAGGCAGCGGGGCTGATGGCCTTGGTGTCCGCGGCCATCGCGCTCGAGAACTTGCGCGACTTGTAGCGCGCATCCATGAGCTGACTGGCCGAACACGGGATGAGGAAGCTCGGGATACGCACGTCGGCAGCCATGGAGCTGCGTCCCGTGCGGTGCCACGACGGTTCATACACTGGCATTTGCGCGACTGCTGGGGCTTCGACTGCCGTAGTGCCACTAGTGGAGGTCTCGTCGTCGAGATTGACAGCCGAGTAGCTGCTCGTGCTTGTGCTGGTGTTGTACTTACGGGCTCGAGCGCGCACTCCGGCGGAGACGGCGCGGGCAGGCTGGCGGGAGTGGTGCATGGTGGCTATGTAATGACTTGAACAGGGGGCTGCTAGTTGTGGAATGACTAACATCGACGACTTGCTGCATCATGTGGGGACCGTTCGATGGAAGGCTTCACTAGAAGCCAAGAACGGCAGAAGCTGCGTACGCACGTAGGTGGATTGCCACTGCATTGTGTTTGGCTAGTTTTGTGTCTCGGAGAAATAATGGTCCTGCTATATTGGATTATTGAAGTCCAACTCTGGCCTTCTGCTCTACTCCGCATTACCCTTGATACATTGTTAACTTGCAAAACGCATCGAAAAAGAAACCGGTATTCAATCAAGTTTTCTACAACTGCTGGCCAGCTGGACATGTGGTGAGCACCATGATGGCCAGGAAGCGTTCATGGAGACCCGGCTCTGCTGGCGAAATCCTGGAAAGCCAAATCTTACGGGCCATAAGACTTGGTGCTACCATGACATGATTCATCGCTGATGAAGCACAGAAGCCGATCCTGCGTGAGCCTCACCGCAAAAGTGGCCAAGCTTGCACTGATGTTCCTAGTTTACAGAGGCCACCCAAGGTTTTTGACCCCAAAAGAAAGGAATTGCACATCACTCGGGCATCTCGCATGGTTAAGTCAAACGACCAACGTCGGAACATATTTTACTCTTCTCGGATCGTTGACAATCAAACTCAACATTGCTATTGACAGCATGTTCATACATGCTGTTAGACATCCGGCTTCGAAGATAATACTAGTAACAATGCAAAAGGCTTCATGCGCATCCGGTCAGACGTCCTGCAAAAGTGTAGGCCATCCTACTTTAGGATCCCTCGCTTCAGTGCCCTCGTAAATTTAATGACACATGGAGCCGGAAAAGATGCCGTTACGTCGTTCTGAGACTCAGTGTGAACCTCTAGCCAGTCCTTCACCACTATGACCAGCGCCGTGGCGTTCTCCGTCGACGCGCTCGCACCACGGGACGAGCTGCAGCTTCACCTCCGACTTGAGAGCAAGAGCGCAGCAGGTAGCGACGTTTTTGTATTGTTTTCACCCATACCCGATTTCAATGTGAATAAGTCAACCTGATAAGCTAATGGAATGAACTCATCTTAGACGCTTCCAATGGCAATTGGCAACGCGTTAGAGAGGAAGCTGTTACTCTAAAACACGTCAACGTCGTATCGCAACTCAATCGAGCTCACTATGGTACAGTCGTGGCATTTCCTAAGTCTCCAGTCAAGAACTAACATTGTCCTATCGATTTCCAGCTTATCGTCTATCACTCCGACCAGGTTCAGATACGCAACACGCCGCAGCTTTTCCGTTCTACTTAGAAGTTCCGGTGCTACCTCCCAGCCCCAGTTCCAGCGAAGAAGGAGACATGTGTCCTCCAGAAATTGGGGCATTTGCTGTCGCTGCAGATCACCTGCAGTGTCCAGCAGAAGAGCAGGTTTCGGACTCGACGAGTGCGAACCAAGCGGCCGCAATGTTTGGAGGAACACTGGCTGCGGCATTGCTGGTGTATTCATTGCTGCCCTACGTGAGAGGTAGAAACCGAAAGAGACGGTGCAGTCGCTCGCGAACTGAATCGCAAACAAGCGAGGACTGTAGTGACCATCAAGAAGTGTCGACTCCGACGACTCCGAACGGAGCGAGTCGGCGGATGTGGAGTAACCTGGATGACGGGATTGAACCTGCTGGAACGTATCGAGCGGGAATTCGAGAGAAAAAACGACAGTTGGATGCCATTGGAAGCACCAATTCGGATGCTGGATCGGAGCTCCTGCTTGCTAAACTTCCTGATTTTAATGGTAAGGCGAGTTCTGTTGCTTATAGTGGGTCCATTCTGATCGTTTGTGGCGATTTTAGATGAACGAGGCTGGCGTGACTTTTTCGACTCGCAGATTTACCACAATGAGCCTGAAGAAGAGCAACGCACTGCAACGAAGGCTTTTTCAAGGGTTAAAAGTCACTTTGGTATGATACCAAGAGAGGCTACGCGCAATAATCTAAGCCGAATCAAAAGTACTACTACATCTACTACCACACCCAGAAGCGCTAGATACAGGACAATCAGGGACAGGATCGACCGCGCAGCAATGGAAGCTGCCATGGATGAAGCCCAAACCTTCAACGAGTTCTGGCAGATGTGACGTGTGCGTTATTTGTAGATACTTGAGAAAAAAAAGGGTCTCGATTCGAGGACGGTGTGAGTGAAGCATCGAGATGACTACCTTGAATCAAACTCACGATGTCATAATTTTGATACTAAACTTTTCTTGTTTCTCCGACATTGCTCTTTTCGTTGTCAAATGCGTGTGAATTATAGTACAGACTCCTTCACTCACAGCCTACCGTGTTCCCGCTGCCTGTTTTAATAGCTTCTTAGGTGCTATTGAGCCTAAAATAAGTCTGTGGCGTGAGTGAAGCCATTACTGGCAAGCGTTTCCAGGTCGCATTGCGTATTCGGACGCCAATATTCCGGTTCCATGCGTGCCAGAGCACCAAGAATAGTGCCGCGTCCTCGCGTAGACTATCAATTTCAAGCAGTAATGGTCGTGGGAACAAGTATAACACCTTTGACTGCCAGCTAAGGAAGTTCTTCTCGTCCAAATAGTATTTAGGCTTAAACAGTGCGTCGATGACCGGGATTTCATGGTTAGCAGCAATGACTGTGGTGGCAATGGGGCTGATAGCAGATATACCAACGTGGACATCGGCCGCAACAACGACTGCTGGTCGAGGAGGTGCTGAGCTCGGCCAATCGACCAACCATCGAGCGCAACAACGACAACACAAGCGTGCCAACGTGCTTGTCACGATGCAGTCAACTGGAAATGAACTTTTTTCCAAGATCAAAGGCCAGAAATTCAGCTCTCGTGGTCATCGCGTGACAGCGTTGAAGGACGGTCTTGAGAATCTTGCCAGGGAGTCTCAACGTGGAGTACACGAGCTGTTGGGCAAAGTGGGTGACTCGTTCGCACGTTCCGAGAGCTTTTGGATAACGAACCAGGTTTACGTGCAGCAGGCAACACCCGATCTCGTCAAGCAGCTTGAAAAGGTTCCAGGAGTGCAATCCGTGGAGTTCGAGATGATATTCCCGTCTTCACTGCCTGTGCTTTCAACACCGTCCATGTCCAGTTCAAGCTCTGCGGCTCAATGGGGTGTCAGTAAGATCAATGCTCCAGATGTCTGGGCTACCGGGAACACAGGACAAGGAGTGGTTATTGGCTCCATTGATACAGGAGTGCGTGGCACTCACGTGGCGCTGGCGAGTTCCTATCGGCAAAGCTACGGCTGGTACGATCCTGAAGCCAAAGCTCCTGCTCCGTACGATTCAACGGGGCATGGCACTCACGTCATGGGTATTATGGTGGGTCAATTCGGCTTCGGAGTGGCACCGGGCGCTACTTGGATGGCCTGTAAGGGATGTCGAGCTCAAGGTTGCTACGGATCGGATCTGCTAGCATGTTTTCAGTTCATGCTGTGTCCGACGACGCCCAGCGGGACCTCCAAAGACTGCTCAAAAGCACCACACATCGTTAACAATAGTTGGGGTGGAGGCCAGGGTCTCACGATGTTCGACGGAGTCATTAACGCTTGGCGAGCCGCAGGGATCATTCCTGTCGTCGCTGCAGGGAACACTGGCCCAAATTGCGGTACTATCGCATCGCCAGGTGACTCGGCTAGTGTTATCACGGTAGGTGCGACCGATATCAACGACGGTCTTGCCTCGTTCAGCAGTAAGGGTCCAACAGTGCGAGGTCTCCGGAAGCCCGATGTCGCAGCTCCAGGTGCTTTGGTATTGTCATCTTGCTGGACGGACGATTCTTCTTACTGTTTCAAGTCCGGTTCGAGCATGGCCGCACCCCATGTGACTGGTGCCATCGCTCTTTACTTGAGTGCGAACCCGGGAACTTCGTACGACAAGATTAAGGATGTGTTACAATCTCGGGCCGTCACCACAACGCTAACAACACCGACAGGCTATGCATGTGGCAAGACCCAAGACCGAAATTTCCCCAACAATCAGTACGGATACGGACGTATTGACATTTTCAACGCTCTTAGCTAAACAGAAGAAAGTGGTGCTACCTGTTTTCACATACACAAAAGGTGAGGATTAAACTGCTCATTGCGAATATCGACTATGCTTTATTTGTCTCCAAACACATAAAATTACATTAATATCGTATCGGAGCCTGGTCATATCATCATTCTACCAGTTCAGCAAGTAAGACTCCAGATCATAGCAGCATTCTCCACTATGGCAAACTCTTCGATTACTGGAAGTTAGATCGGTTATATTTATTGTTATCAACGCCAACAGGCCTTCATAGTAGTCCATGCCTTTAAAAATCGTGACGATTACTTCGACAAGACCGAGATGTCAATGAGTAGTCAAGCCAAGAAAATTGAGGATCGTGCAATTCAAAATACAGAAATGTATAGAAATCGCTGATCTGGGCGTCGAAAACAACTTCAACTTGTGAGGATGTCATTGTAATCTGCTGACTGTTGCAGTACGGCGCACCATACACGATGCCCAGCACGCCGTCCTCATGCAGACACGTCATTATCATGGTACTGTACAATAAACATAGCTTAGACCGCTGGATACGGCACAGCACCATGCTGCACCTAATGCAAGCTGTTCATTGTTGCAGCAGCTCTGGAGAACCGCTGCCCATAAGGTTGTGCAGGTCCTAGAATACACCGACAACAGCATGGCGTGCAGCTGGATCCTATGCCATTGACTCTCACCGCACAAACCGCAGAGTGCGGCGGGGACGGCGGGGAGGCTGCAAATTGGTGGCTACCTTCCGTCGTGCGTTGCATAGCCATGCTTGGTTCATCTCCCTAATGAAAAAGAACCCCAATCAGAAATCAGCATTTGGTTCCTTACTTATTTCTAGTCAGTGTTTTTTTGTTTAAAACAATTTAGCTTGGAAAAACTATTCCTTTGTAAAATCAAGTTGGATTCTTTTTTCTTCGCCTATCGTGTCTCATATGTCTCCTTTTGCACCGCTGCAAAGGCCTTCACTTCTCATTTCGCTGCCTTCGTCTCAAGTGGCCCCACCTCAAGCAACACATCATCATTCCCTCACCAAGATGCCGTCTCGATCCTCCTTCCTCGCTAGCCCTACGCTGACTGCGGCATCGTCTCCATTGGCTGTCGATGAGCTTGACGGTCCGTCGCGCCGCTTGCTCAAAGCTCGCCACCACGATATGGATAAGATGGAGATCCAGACCAACACACTGACTGCCGTGCTGCACTACGAGACCATCAAGTTCACCATCTACAAGCTGCAGATCCGCAGCACAGCGCGCTTCGCCGATGGTGGCGAGTGGACACTCATTAAGCGCTACTCGGAGTTCTTCTACTTCCGCCAGACGCTTCTCAAGCTACTCGAGAAGTGGGATCTGCATTTCCGCAACGACACTGAGCGGTTGCAGTGCAAGGAATTCACCCTGGCCACGGCATTGCTGCTACCATCGCTCGAAATCCCTACGTTCCCACGTAAGCACATGCGCTGCGATACTGTCGCTATCATCAAAGAGCGACGCGCGAAGCTGCAACAGTTCGTGCGTAAGATGCTGGACGCGTACACAGACATCTCGGTATTTCTACACGACACACAGTCGCGCAATACTCGCGCCTTCTCCAACCTCAGCGATATTCTGCAGGTGTTGGAGGAGTTTATGGTCATCCCTCCGCAGCAGAAAGAGATCAACCGTCGCCAAACCGCTGCGGTATTAGCTCTGGAAGACGTCGAGAATGCTACGTCGGATTGCAAGGACCGTACGTGCTGTATTTGTCTAAACGACTATGACTCGGACGTGGAAGAGGAGGAAATTATTGAAGACACGATGGTGAAGCTCCCGTGCTCTCACCAATTCCACGAAGACTGCGTTATCGACTGGTTCAACACCAGCACCACCTGTCCGCTGTGCCGAAAACCTGCCTTCACAGAAGAGCACTGGTCATTCGACGTTTCAATCAATTAAGTATAATACAGCTACCGCAAATGTTACGTTTCATTCTTCAATTGTTCAGCAAGTTTTGTAGGACGCGCCGATTCTGTGATGAAATAGTCTGCGGTCTAAACGTGCATTCTTGTCGCTCTTTGGCGCGCATTTCCTCGCGCACCTTTAGTCGTCGACGAATTGATTCTTTGCTGGTTTCTGAAAGCTTGAATGGTTTCGGCACCGTATAGCTACGCGGTTCGTAAGATGTGTTTGGAGCAAATACTTTTTGCTCTCGCTGCTTTTGTTCCGCTTGTTGCTGTCGAGCGCGGTCTCGGAGCTCAAGAAAACGCCCTAGGCCACGAACAATCACCGGCTTCTGTGTGCACATTATTAGAGTGTTAGAAGAAAAAAAAAGATTAAAAATTCATATAACTGCACGTTTACCTCTTCAGCAACAGTGCCTCGTGGAGGGGAAGGTGATCCATTAGCTGATGGCTTTCCTCTCGTCCTTGGCTTGTGCAGGTTAGGCTTGAAAGTGCATTCTTCCAGCTCCTTTAGTTCCTGAGCGTTCCGTTTCGCTTCAATCTCATCTGCTTTCTTCTGTCGTTCCGCTTCAATGAGGTGAAGAAGGTTTTCCGATTGCCATTCCAATTTCGTCCTCGATCGTGGCTCTCGATTATGCAGCTTACTTGTGCTGGCACAGCCATCGCGCTGTTTGGATGCTACTAGCGTTGGCTGAAAAGTGCATTCAGCTTTACTTGCTTCCTCCATTTCGAGGGCAACACGGGAACGGAAGCGTTTGTTGGCAAAGTAGCTCCTCAATGCCACTCTGGTTGAGATATCGTTACCATTTCGTCTTTCTTGGGGCGGTGAACATTTTGAGCCTGGTGGGTCAGGTTGGATATCGATCACGGGGTGTGAGAGCTCGTCCAGAGTTGACGATCTGCCGAGCGCCTTCGAGACGGGATTGATTTCTGGCTTAAAGGTGTATTGTGCATACTGTTCCTCTCGCAGACGCTGCTTCTTCAGCTCAGCTTCTCGTTGATCGTTGTATGTGAGTCGATACAACTTCTGTTGACTGCTTTCGCTACACCGATCAGGTCGCAAATGTTTCAACACGCCGTCTGCATTGCCAATATCCGGCTTAAAGGTGAGTTTCTCTCCTCGAGTATCTTCCATTTCGCAAAACCCTTCAAGAGCCTCCATCTTCTCTTGGTCGCGATACTGGAAATACTCTTGGCGTGCTACAAAGTTCATCTTAAACTCGGGCTTTTGCTCGACGATTTTCCTCGAGGTCTCACTAATTTGTGGGGCGAATGGCTGCTCGTTCAGCATATCGAAATATTCCTGAGTGGCTAGCTTCCGCTCCGCTATCTCATCGGCATCATTTGCTAGACGGTCTGTTACTTTAAGATGTTTTGCGTCCTGAAGCTCGGCCTCTCTTTCAGCTAATCTGTTGGTTGCGATTTCTCTGCTCTTGGGGTTGATCGTTGGGGTAAATGATAGAGGACCACACTCTTCCTTGTCCAACTGCTCACGAATGCGCTCGATATATTCAGCCTTAGCACAGAGAATGTCAGCTTATACAGCATATAGGAGAGTAACATGCATTGTACCTTTGCGCGCTGGAGATCAGGAACCCGATGGTGAATTGGCTTGTAGTCAACCATACTGAACATCGACTTCGACGTTGGATTAATCTTGGGTATAAACGTACATTCTTGAAGTTGTTGAGCCTCTAATGCCTGTCGAGCTTGCTCTCGTAATTCGTAGCGCACTGTTCCGTCCAAATGCAGCCTCTGGATAACATTTTGACTGCCATTCTCCTTGTCGTTTGAATCATCAATACGTCTGAAAATCTTCTGACGGGGACTGAGAGTAAGCCATTGGAAATCTGTCGTGCCAGGACGTCCCTGATCCTTGTTCTTAGCTTTTGAGATTGATCGAGGAGGCTTTAGTACGTTTGGATGGAACGTACACTCGCGAAGCTGCTCCATCTCTAAGAGTAATCGCTGTTTCTCGCGTTCTGCAAAAGTTTGATTTCGAGGTTGCGCTAGAAACTCAATTCGACTTGTTGGTCTATTCGTCGTTGCTCGGCGCTGATCAATATGTGGGATATCTTGCGAATGCACAAACTGCTCTTCTTGATGTTCATCAGTTGGCACCCATGGCACATCAGCGTAGTCGTGATGATCAACAAAAGACTTTGGAATGATTTCAGCATTTGCTTGTGTCTGTGCTTCTGTTTCGTGTTCTTGCCGCAATAGCTTTGCAAATAGCGACGATGGCACTGGTTCATCAACTTCAGTCTTTTTGTTGGGCACCATGTGCGAGAATTCTGTTTGAGATAGAGAGATTTCAGGTGAATATCCAGGATCCGATGTTTGCAGCGCTTCTTCCCCTTCGAAAAGAAAGTCAAGCTTCGATCGTGGCTGGATGTCAGCAGCGGTCGTATTGTCTAGTATATCCGATGCATAGTAAATTTCGTCGTTGTCATCGGATACGGTGCTTGGAGGGCTTCTATTCGCAATTGCTTCATGCTGAAATTCCCCACTCAATTCATCTCCTCGCCTAACGTCTATGGGGTGAACGGAGGCCTCTCCAAAGTGAAAATCTGTACCAGAATCGGCCTTAAACTCCGTGTCTCGTTCACTGAGCAGCTTGTGAATAAGTTCATGGCGCTCTTCAGGTGTCCTGTACGTCCTCTTCTCCGATGCTGTCACTTGGTATCCCATTTCATCCCCAGCCACAGTGTCAACATGGCGCGTGCGCAAAGCAGTCTGGCGCTCGGACGACAATTTGGCCAGGATCTCCCTTCGGCGCTCTTCCTACAACAAACGCTAGAGTTAAATGCAGTCGTGAACCGGGAAAGATAACGACAAATTACCGAAAGTATTGGTCGTGCTTTCAGTTTCCGACGGAAATTCGAGTCCTCTATAAGGAAATACGCGCTTATTAGTCCCAATAAAGCAAACTATCAACTTTCAACCAACACGAACCATGCTTCAGTCCTGATTCTTCATCCTTGAAGGCCTCAAAAGCTACTGAAGGAGGGGGCAGCGCTTGGCTCGCTGTCAAGTACGCTTCCGCACTGAGTAGCTCTTGCTCTACCTGCGCCAAGCTCACAGCCCCGCGTGGTTCCACCATTTTCCACAATTGTGAAGTGAAGGGTCGGATAGCAAGTGAAACTTCGAAGTTGAAGTGAGGACCATCACTCTTGATTCAAAAGTTGAAGTTGGATTCCGCACTCGGAAATCTCAGCCTCATTCCGCATTTTGCGGTCTGAGGCACAAGGGGGAAGAGTTTTGCGGTGGAGAACAAGCGTGATGATCAAGAAAAGCAGTGTCCCTCTGCACTGGCCCAAGGAGGTCTACGACTACGGGCAGAAAACGATCACGGATGCAGCGGTGGGTGGCATCGATCTCCGGAAAGGCTGCTGGATTCACTGCAAATGGTATAAAACCCGTAAAAATATTAGAATGAACTACATTTTGATGAGATTTCGCTTGTAGGTGCAACATGACGTTGAAGACGCCAGCCTTCTCACTTGTGATGTGGAAAACTCATCAGCAGAGGAGGAAGCATTTGTTGCATGAGCAAAAGATCCTGAACGATAGTTCACAGCCCCCCTTCGTCACTTGTTCGTCTCAGGCGTCTGTCCACAGCTCGACGTCAAGCATGCCAGGCACACCGACGAGTCTGCTAGGTCTTCAATCATCCCAGGAACACGAGTCTCTGATGCTTGTTCGTCGTGATCTTCATTTGAATAAGCAGCATCAAGCTCGGTACCAACGGGATGTGACAAACGTGATCAACGCGATGACAAGTCTCGTGTCCGACCAACAGGGCGACTTGGACACAATGCAACGTCAGGTTAGCGATATGACAAACGAAGTTGAGGACCTAAAGAAGCAAGTGGAAATCCTTCGGCGAAAGGAGCGGCAAAAGCAGGTGCGAGCTCCTCAGTACGAGGTCATTCGACCGGATTCACGCACTCCACGACGAATCCCAGCGAGTCATGCGCTTAGCGTAAAGACTAACGGTGACTACAGCAAAGAAAGACAGTTAAGGAATCCCCAAAAGGTAGCTAAAACCAAAAAGCCCAAGATCAGACACAGCATGACGGAGATGGATTTATTCGAGAAGCGCTTCCAACTCGCATAGCGCAAATAATCAATGAAGTCGAGGGAGCATGCAGAAGCTACAAGGCAACAGGCGGGCTCAAAAGTCAAGAGTAGCAAGACTCTTAGAAGAAAAGATTACGCGTTTCACTTCCCGTTTGTTCGACAGGGCAGGTGGGGCACTTGAATCGCCTGTAAATTCCAGCATTCACATCAGTAGTGTCAGATCTGCGCGCATACGTTTTGCCTACTTCTTTACGAGGCAAAACAAACCGGGTCATGTTGTAGGAGAATCGCTTGACGCAGGAGAGACAAATTACGTGGCCGCACTTCAGCAAAAATGGTGGGTTGTCTGGCGTGCTTTCTTCCTTGGAAACTGGGCAGGAGAACACGTTGTGAAAGCGAAGCTCTTTCGCTATAGGGATCTCCACCTATTGGTAAGGTTAAGATTCAGTGAGTTTCAAAGCAATTACCGCGCATTGATAAATGATCAGAGTACTTACGGGCAGTTCTTCCATACTTCCCCAATCAGCCAACTTGCTATCCATCACCGACATAAGCTTCCGCATTGCAGGTAGTGCTGATACACCTGCTGACAGACTGTAGCTAGTGGTTAGAATATGCAGACAAGATTGGACGAGTATCAGCGAAGTGTGTACCATGTTTCCAGGTAGGACCGGTACGGAACACGACGGAGACTGCAGCATGCACGGATGACGGCGTCGTGAATTTCATCCCATCTGGTGTCGTTGAAGAGTTTCTTGTATGGGGATTCCTCTAGCTTCCCCTTGTACAGCACGCAGCTCATCAGCACACCCACCTCTGCCCAACAATATATCTCAATGTGAGTTACGGAATCGTACACGCCAACCGGCTTATAGCGATGCTCACCTTCGGCGTGGGTCTGATGAAAGAACGGGAGTTCCTTGTTGGCGAAGTTGACTGCGTCCATCATATCCGGCGAAGACTCGAGGATGTCCACATACTTGAGCCGAATCAACTCAAACTCGATGTCGATGTCCAGTCGTCCTAACTCCTTGCGATGCTTCCGAGCCCAGCTACACCATACCATCAATTAACTGTACGTTCATAAAAAAAAAACATGTACGGCAACGTACTCAAGCGCAGGCTGCATGTCACGCTCTTTTATTGCTTTCAGTATTTGGTGCAGCTCGATGAAGCAGTCTCGGAATGTTGGCGGCAGTTCTAGTCCCGCCTCCTATAACACAACAAAGTCAAGAACAGTCTAAGAACCGCATCAAATCCACACTCACCTTGCACATGGCATCTGCTGCCTCGATCTGGCCATCCTGGTAAAGGTACTCTGCCACTAGTCGACACACGAGCTTCTGGTCTAGCGCATTGGTCCGACATACCTTGGTGATATTGGTGCAGAGGTTCTACAGTTTCAATTCAAACCATAAACAGTCAGCTTATGGAGCTATCATCTACGATAGCCCGATGTACTCCCACCTTGTCGATCTGCTTGGAGTACTTGGACAGCAGTACGTGAATCGCCTTGAGCTCGCTTGCCACGTTCTTCTCGAAGTTCAGCTGTCGTACCCGTCGGATAAAGTCCCTGACGATGTATTCGGTCTCATTGTCTTGCTCTTCAACTGCCACGTCGTCATCTTTAACCTTAGCGTCTTCGGCCTTACACGAGGGCGCTGCACTATCTGATAGCGCCTCATCTCCGTTATTGGCAGTTGAGACTGAGGTTTGCGATGCTTCGTTGTTGTTGCTGTCTGGACCGCCTTCTTCTCCCTCGCCCGCTGAACTGGTCGCGAGGTGGCGATTCTTCTTGCGGCAAAGCTCCTGCTGTCGCTCCTCAAGTTGCTTCTTGGTGGTCTCTACCTGTGTCAGCAGTTCATCGATCTGGTAGTCGATCTGTGCCACGCAAAGCCGCTGCTTCTTCAACACACGCTTGCTCTCCTCCTCTAGACCCTGCATCGTTCGTTTTCTGTGAGAACAAGGAGAGAACGGTAAGACTTTGATGTAGTTACCATGACTAGGAGATTATACGTACAGCACTTACAGACGGCAGGGATCCTAGGCCAAGTACTCGAGCTTTCTCGCTGCTCGCTGGTCTTCTGAGAACGAATCAGATGGGAAGAACGAAAGGTCACGCCACCGAATGCTGCAACTTGTACAAAGATTGTAAAAGTTCTGTTTCTGCTGCCACCGAATTTTACAGTAAAGTACAGTTACACCTCGAAAATGTCCGCAGCAGCTTTTTTTTTTTTAAAGTTAAATGCATGCGGCTATAAGAAGGAGTTTGATGGTCTTCAACTGAAGTGCAAGATCAACACCTGCGACACCAAAGCACACTGCAGCATTCACTTGTCGTGACCGCGGCATGTTGACGGGCATTCACTTGTCGTGGCCGCGGCCTGTTGACGCTCTTTGCCACGTTTAACCCACAGGCACGTGGCTGCCACCCGCGCTGTCACCCGCGATCAAAATGATAGCGGCCGACACTGCGATGAAGAGACAACCGGTTTTTGTCCTCCACGATATTTGCATGATGCAATGCGTCCGATAAAGCGCTCTTCTGCCTTCTTGAGCACCTTTGCCGTCGCCAATCTAGTCATGCGATGGCCAACGATGGTTTGAAACAAGCGCTTTCTCAAGAGAAATTCGCTGCAAAAAATAGAACGGCTCATAATCAACCCTGTTGATCGAAAAACCACTCGGATTTCTGGCCAATCGCTCTGATTTACACTTCAATTTGCAATACCTAAACTCATGCGAGGCCTTTTTGAGCTGTCTCAAAAACCATGTTGCCCTTCTGCGCTTCACTATAGAAACGGCGCAGTGCCACTAACGCTGTCCAGTAGGTGCGATGTTCCTTCTCAAGCCGCCGTCTTCGTCTCCTGTCGCGCCCGACACATCGCGTCACCGCCTGTGCGCGGGTCTGGTGGCTTCCGAATGGAAGTACGTTGCCGAGGGCGGTGCTAACGTGCTGTTCCGCCACCGACCGGCAGCAGACGCCGCGTCCAGCTCCATCGCGCTGGAATTCAAGGGCAAACTCCTACGCGTCAAGAAGTGCGACGTGGTGCAGCCGACCACCGACAAGCAGCAGAAGAAGAGCAAGCGTCGTGCTTCAGGCGAGAAGCCTTACGTGCCGCATTATCCGCACCCGAGACAGGTGCTGGACTATGCCACACACGAGATCATGCCATATTTGGAGCAGCAGTTGCACGGGAAATACGCACACGCTACTACTGGCCGTCGAGAGAACACGTACCTGCAGGTAGCGGAGCTGGTAGACGTCGAGCGTGGCTTCCTACAGGCTCTGAACGCGCAACTACTGGCACTTGAAAGCCGACCAGCACACAGGCGACAGAGCCAGATCGACGTCTCGCTGCAGTGCGTCATGGTGCTGCCAGATGTGACGCTGCCTCCACCGGATGACGACAGTTTGCCCAGTTTCTTCCAGTCGACCAGGAGTTTACTGGAACTGCAGGCGGAGTCAGAGGCAGATGATAAAGAAGAGGCTTTGAGCATGAAGCGACGAGAATCGATCTCCTATCAGACGGACGACGATGATGTCGATCAAGATGGAGACTCGTCGGACGGAATAGAAGCTGACGGCAAGCCCTACGTCGTGTGCAGCAGTACAAGTGTCAGCAGCGCGTCGGATAAAGAAGACGACGATGAAGAGGAAGAAGCTGCTTTAAGCGAGCCACTAACATCAAGTCTACAACGCATGGGCATGCCACGGTCACTCAAGAGTCTACGGAGCAGTTCGTTCCGCGCAGGGAACGTGTTTGACTGCTGTTTCCGGAATATCTGCGTGGAACTGAAGCCCAAGATCGGATTCAAGCCCAAAGGCCCACTGGTTAGCCCCACGAAGGCACGTGTGTGTCGCTTTTGCATGCATCAGCACTACAAGAAACGCACTGGCAAAGTGGAAGAGATCAGTCAGTATTGTCCATTGGATCTGTTCTCCCACGACCCGGCAAGGAAGCGACATGCGCTTCGAGCGTTGCAACGAACACCGCAGAATAACTTCAAGGTGTTCGTACGCTCGGCAGAAGACGAGGTTGTGAATGTCATCACGGGCTTAAACGCCGATGCTCTGCCGAAAGGTGCAGCTCAGTCCCGGTACTCCTTTTGTCGACGGAAACGCATGGGCTTCCGTCATTCGTGTCAATCGATTGGCGCAGAGCACGAACTATCTTTTGATGAGAACGCAGAGTACGAGCACGAACGAGATCACGCGCAATTGATGCCTGAAGTGGTTGAGTTGATCACACAGGTTTTGACAGAGCTGGACATTCTCGAAGACTTGAAGCAGATGCAGCTGTTGGACCACATTTCAGTGGACGGCATTCGACATCTCCAGTTGCTGTTGCACAGACTGGATGAAGAGAACAAACGTGACCAGACGTCGTTGGGTGAAGACAATACTGTGGGTCGGTTAGTCGCAGCGATAAGACAGCGATCCGATTATCCAGAGGTTGAAGATGTGGACCAAGACGGGAGTGTTGCACGTGGGTTGGCGTTCCTACGCATTGCGCTGAGTCATCTACCGGGGTTGGATGTACTGCAAGAGGTGGAGTCGTGGGAATCCATGCGTTTGCAACAGTTCCACGAGTTGTACCAGGAATTAGAGAAGAGATTCCAAGTAGCGACGACACTGAAGGACTGCTCACTGCTGCTGTGCTTGCGTCGCTCCCCCAATGACGACGCCGGCAAGCACGAAGACAAACCGAAGCCTCGCTTCCAACATCTTGTGGAGTTTGAACACCATATTCGCTTCCGCGACCTGGCCTTCGACTGTGTGGTGGCGATCGTGGACCTGGACGTCAAGTCGCACAAGTCGGTGTCGGATTACTACCGACTGGACGAGAAGATCGCGACGAATTTCCAACGCGAGTTCGGCAGCCGCGGCGTCGCCAAGGTGTTGTGCCACGAGGACTGAGCGGCTGAGATGCGTTCCACGTTTGACAGACTTGACTCACACACTTGACTTACTCGACGCATTACACGCTCCGAGCTTCAACCGAACACTGTGCTGTAACTAATAGAGTTTGATTGTATCTTCATACGGTGTACATACCGACGAGATCCTGACGAAACGAGGCACGCGGCTGAGTTGTTAAATGCGTGCGTTGTGAGTTTGCGATGGAAAGATCGAGCTCGACGCTGTAGGTTCATGTCACTCGTTGGACATTGTACAGCTTCTCGGCGTTTCTGGCATCACGCTACGCTGCCTTCTCCACCTTCACTTTGCTGCTTTTGATGTGTTGATCCTGTTGCTTTGTGCGCACACGTGCCGTTTCTCGCTGGAGCACTGCAACTCGCGCCGGGTCTGCAAGAAAAGCGACAAAAGAGCGAAAGTCCAGGAAACGATACAAAACGGCAGGTCAGTTCAAGTTCATGGGAAATCGTGGAAATCATCCTACGACAGACAGCCAGACGACGAGTCGTGCTCGTGCTGGTCACTGTTGGCCTTGAACCCATACGTTAACGGCGACGTACCATTGGCGGCTGCGAGAGTCTTTTCCTGGTGGCGGCGCGCGGCATATTCGCGGTAGCATTGACGCCCCCAAACGGTGAGCAGCGCGGCGCCCAGCAGCTTCCAGCCGTGCGTCTCGAACAGCCACTGCACATACAGCCAGCAAGTGACCCAAAGCGTCATGACGTCTTGCATCG